TTCATTCTTTGGTGGTGTAGTACACAATTCATTTTGAAAATTGGAGAATAAAAAAAGTTACATGATTCATTGTCAATAATTTAAGTTACTAGGCTAGACATTGAGAGGCTTGCCTAAAGACTATCAGGTGCAGATTCTCTTGCAGAATGCATGGAACCTGGCAAAGGCAAATAGGGATGCATTTTTAAGCTTGCCAGTCAGCAGAATAGAACAGGTACAGTTCTGGCACTTGGGAAGGTGATGGGGAATGGCTTATTAAGATATACTCATTTTTTACCAAGGTTACTGTAAATTCTGAAGGGTGTAGTTTTATGTATTAGGATTGTAGATACAGAAGGGAGACTATTGGTGTTATACCATAGCTTAAGCAAACTATTCCTAAAAGGGAAATATAGATGAAATATTGTTTTCTCTTTCAGCTTTTATCTGACCAGCATATATGATCATTCAATATTTGAAGCTTTTAGCAAAGTGGTTCAGAAATTGATTCCACAACTCCCAACTCTGGAGAATTTGCTAAACATCTTTATCTCAGTAAGTAAATAATTTACTTCTTTTATAGTCATTTGAAGAATTTCAGAGGAACATTGCAAGAGTGAAAAGGATCTGTCTTCTGCTTGCTCTTACATCATTTCAAGATCATTTAATTATGATTTTTGAAGATTACTCTTTGATATTGTTCAGTTTTGGAGTTTAACTCCCAAAACGAAAATGTGTTACTTGACTGGCATAAGTAGAGTGTTTATTCAAGTTGAGGGCATTCATCATAGTTAATAGAATCCTACCAGAGATAGAGAGCATAAGGCTTGCTGTATTAGTCAGGTTTCTCTAGAAAAACAGAGTCAACAGGAAGTATAATTATAAAAGTGGGACTTATTAGATTGGCTAGTGGGATCAGAAGCTGGATAGTCCACAATGGCCGACTGCGGGCTAGAGAGCTGGAAGAACCAGTACCTGCACAGTCCAAGAGGCTGGAACCCCAGAACAAGAGGGATCAACGGCTTCTGGAAAATCTGCTTTGAAATAATGAAGAAGTGAGAGTTCAATCCTCAAGACAATTGCAGCAGCAATCAAGAACCCCTTCAAGAGGAATCCAGCTTGCATATGCCATCTGCTTCTTTGTTCTTTCAGTTTTTTATTCCATCCAAGCCATCCTATTGGTTGGTGCTGCCCATGCTTAGGGAGGGTCTCCATTTTAGTTGGCTATCCCACATGCCAGTCATTCCTAGACACACCCTCATTGACACACCATAATCCTCTTGATCCTTGGCATTTCTTTATCCAATCAAGTTGACAGTTCAAATTAACAATTACACTTGCTTTTGGTGATGACTCCTTCTTGAATAACTTTTTATTTGTTTAACACTGTATGAATTATGTGCCAAAAGAATCCTAAGAGTTAGGAAATAGTGCCCAATTTGTTTACCTACAATAAATAATTTGCAGTAACCCTCCTTTTCATCTCTACTGTAAGTCCATTATAAAGTTTAAGATAATAAGTTTAAGTTGTAATGCAGTGGTGCAACTTAAATTATTTGTAGCTTAATTTTTGCTCATTTATATTTTATATTGGGGCTGGCCTATAATTTTATGTAAACTGTACACAGTTTGAAGTCAGCTATCACTTTAAGGCAGCATTTTTTGTTGTTGTTTCAGAATTCTGGAATTGAAAAGGCATTTCTATTTGATGTGGTCAGTAAAATTTACATTGCAACTGATAGTACTCCAGTGGATATGCAAACCTATGAGCTCTGCTGTGATATGATAGATGTGGTTATTGACATCTCTTGTATTTATGGGTAAGTAAAACACTCATAAATGGCAATTAAGCCATCTTTTCCTTTCATAACTTCTTAGGCACTTTGCATTTATCTATTTGACTTTAATACTTTTATTTCAAATGACCAAGGTCTGTAAATAGACCACTTAGCATGCAATAATAATAACAAACAACTATTGAGCAAATGCCTGGCATTATGCTAATAACTTTATTGCATGCATCATATAGTTTAATTCTCAACTATTCCATGAGACAGGAATTACTTACTATACCCATTTTACAGATGAGGAAACTAAAGTTTACAGTGGTTAAGTTTCTAATTGATGCTCCCATTGTCAATAAGGAACAGAAATAGAATTTGAACTCAAGTCTAAATGATTCCTGATCCTCTGCTGAAAAATCTGTCAACATCTGTGGATATAAATTAATCCTTAAACTTTGAAGAGATATGTCATTAACATTTCTATTAATACTCTTTGTTACAGAAAATAACTGCTGAGTTTTTTTTAAATACACTTTTGATTTTCTGTGGCCAGCAAAGAATTATAAAACTAAGCAAACGACATTATCTGCTTATTATTAGTAGTTGTATGGTCTTGTGTTCTTAGAAACATTTTATACACTTAAAATAATATCAAATAAACAGTGAGCCAGGTGCAGTGGTGCATTCCTATAATCCTAGTGTCTTGGGAGGCTGAGGCAGGAGAATACCAAGTTCAAGGCCAGCTTCAGCAAAGAGTGGGGAAGATTTATTGTATTATCAGAGATAGAAACAGTTCTGAATTAATTATACATTTGCCAAAAAAGTCTTGTATAGATTGAGTGTGAACTAGCTGTTTCTTAGGACGTTAGGATGTTGCTGTGGATACTGGACCTTAGGTTGTCGTCCTATCGTGGACGAGCGGAACCTCTGGTTCATCTTCCTCTGCACTCACTGCCTGTGACCTGCCTCTCTTAGTACTCTGCCTCCTCTGTCAACTTCTGTGAGAGTGTCAGTCTGTTTCTGTCTTCCACTGCCTAAAAATCCTCTGCTCACTCAGTTCAGATTCCCTTGACTGTCACCCCCCAACTCCTGCACACACAGACACACAACACAGTCCCTTCCTGATGGATGGGGTAAGCCATACCTCGAAAGATTGTGGTGAGGGTGGAACCATTAGGCTCACAATGTGCCTTGACCTGGTAGTTCCTGGATAAACTGTAGCTACCATAATTTATTACTGCTGTTATTATTAAATGCTTTAAAAATAGACCATATTTCCCAAAATTACTAGCTTGAAGTATCCTATTATTTTTAAGCCATAAGTGGATGACCTTGAAAGAGCCGTGGAGCTGAATGAACCCTGATTATGGTCTAGATTGCTGTAGTAATCAAGTACAATGAACAACACAATTAATCTGGCACATATTTAATGACATGCATGATCATTATTGTGCCATATGGTAATTAGATGTAAGTGGTAAGTTGTTTGTGTAAATGCTGTTAATCAGAGTTACTTTTATCCAGCTAAAACAAACTCGGTGAGGGAGGAGGCTAGCAGGAGGAAGCTGGGCTTTACCATCAGATTTTTTTTCTGTGGTGGAGTGCAGTGTTCCTGAGAATCACAGGATTCAGGAAGAACCAGTCTGGGTCACAAATGATTTGCGGGCACTGGGGTTTCTTTGCTGGAGCAGTGAGTCTGCCCAGTTAACCGGCAGGAGGCAGGGTGGGGATGTTTGTGGAGACTATGCTCTGCCCCCTTAGATAGTCTAGGAAGGAAGTGGCCCTGTAACTGGAGGACTTGATCCTCTTTCCCAGATGCCCAGTGGAAAGGACCCGTGTTGAAGGTGGTGCCTCAGGAATCTCAGCTCAGGTTCTGCTCAGAGCTCTACACACACACACACACACACACACACACACACACACACACACATTCTCTCTCTCTCTCTCTCTCTCTCTCTCTCTCTTTAAAATAAGTTCCATTTGTTATGTGTATTCATTGCTTATAGATGAAAACTTGTAGAACTTAGTTGTAGTTGCAAAACTTCACCAATTTCTACTTGTAATTTTATGGATCTTTTTTGGTTGTGTTTGTTTGTTTTGTGGTTCTGGGTTGAATTCAGGGGTGCTGTGCCACTGAGTTATATTCCCAGCACTTTTAATTTTTTTAATTTTGAGACAGGGTCTCATTAAGTTGCTGAGGCTGGCCTTGAACTTGCAATCCTCTTGCCTCAGCCTCCTGAGTTGCTGGGATTATAGTGTGAGTCACCATGCCTGGCTCTTTTTTTTTCTTCCCCTAATTAGTTTGTTGTTTTCTTCCTTTTTTCATTGTGAAATTAATATATATTATAGTATGTATACTTTTATGAAAGCATAAAGAATAAAATTAAAATAGCCCATAATCTTACCACCTAGAGATAGTCACTATTTACATTTTTTTTAATATTTATTTTTTAGTTTTCGGTGGACACAACATCTTTATTTTATTTTTATGTGGTGCTGAGTGCCCCGTGTATGCCAGGCAAACGCGCTACCGCTTGAGCCACATCCCCAGCCCTATTTACATTTTTAATATATTTTGTTATTACTTCTCTGTGTAATTTTAAGTATAATAAGATCACTTTGTACATATAATTTTATAACCTGTTTTTTTATTTAACATTATTACCTAAGAATTTTTCTGTTTTATTAAATGCTATTTATTAATAGATAAAATATTTGTTATCTATATATTCAAATGTTATATTTACTTGAAAATTTTAAATGCAGTTTTCTTCATTGGGTAAAACATTTTAAATATTTCAGTGTATTGCTCTTAGAACATTACTTATAAGCAAGAGAAATTCAGTCTCCCAAGTAGCTTAGCTCAGACTTAAATTTACTTTTAAGTAGTCCTGTAGAAACTAGTTTAAAATACTTTCAAAACTAAAAAAGAAAAAAATAAAAACAAAAAAAACCCCTCCATTTCCTTTAAAATATAATTCAGGCTCATCGTTAAATCAAGCCTTTCATCCTAGCCCCTGTATATTTACAAAATTAAAGCATTGGCTTTTGATATGAATCAGATCAGGTCTGAGGTCCTGGCTCTACCTCTGTCACCAGCTTTGTCCAAGTTGTCTTTCTTTCTCCAGTCTCAGTTTCTTCAGTGTCTAGCTTAGAGGATTTTTCTGGCAGAAATTGGATAATGCATGGTCAGAACTAAGAATGGTGTGTATCACACAGTAAATGTTTAATAAATGCTAGCTCTTAATGTGAATTTGATAAAATTTAGCACAATTCCAGTTAAGTGAAAATTCTGGTCAGTTATTCGTAGATTTAGGAAGTAAATATATATCAAAATGTATACAGCTGCTGATAAAAGGAAGGCTATGGAACATGTCCTTTGCCTGTGATGGAAGTATTCACAACTCTTTGATTATACCAGTGTCTTTCACAGGTTCAGTTTCTGTCATCAAAACCATCTTAATTATAACAGCAGTTAAAACTCTTTGTACATTTTATAGATTCTCAGCTGAGAACCATTTATGCATATTTATTTACTTAAGGAACTTTGAAGTAATTGCTGTCAGTATATAGGTGAGGAAATTGTGGCTCAAAGAAGTTACTAAATTTGTCCAAGTTCATATGATAAATAAGAGAGCTGGGTATAAATTCAGGTTTTTCTGTGTCTGTAGACTACACCTTTTCTTAAGAAAATAGACCAATATATTAATTTAACTATTTTGAAAAAATTTCAAGCTACAGGAAATCTTATATCCATGTTGGGATTTACCAGTTGTTACTAATTTGCCATGTTTATTCTTTTTTCCTAATACATACTCTTTGTGTGTTTTTGCTGAACCATCTGACAGTAAGTTTCAGACCTTGATTCTTTGATCTTGGCCACTTGAACATGTATCTGTTAAGAACATGGACATTCACTGCAGGACCATGGTTTAAGTAGCAAGTGAAGCAGATTTAGCCTGGCTATATTACTCTTGTTATTTAATACATAAACGCATATTCAGTTTTTACCAAACATCCCAATTCTGTTTTTTATAGCAGTCTTTCCCCTTGTTCAGGGTTCAGTCCAACATTTGGCTGTCATGTCTCTTTAGACTCTAAATTGTTTTTCAGCCTTTCTTGGTCTTTCACCAGATCATGCTTTTGACAGCCTGGCTATTCTACCATGAGAAAATAAGAAGCCCTTGGCTGTGGAGGGGAGAAGAGTTCACTGAAATACTTTGCTGAATGGCACTGCAAGTGTAAATGACATCATTTTCTCTGTGTTAAAGCTGGTCTCTATTACTGGGTTGCAATTTTTAATTCTTTCTCAATGATCAAATACATTTTGATTTCTGTCCCCATTTAGTCTCAAAGAAGATGGAGCAGGAACCCCCTATGACAAGGAATCAACAGCCATTATAAAGCTGAATAATACAACTGTTCTTTATTTAAAAGAGGTGACAAAGTTCCTGGCTCTCGTTTGCTTTGTCAGAGAGGAAAGCTTTGAAAGAAAAGGTAATTTTTAAAATGTGATTTAAAAGAAGCATTTCAATTCATTCTGCCTTCCTTGCTTGTTGAATGTGAATGAATGACAGCATGCCCTTGAAGCTTCCAGACTTTAGTCACAGGCCCTTTTGGCAGGCAGGCCTCAGGTAGTTCAGAGATGGTGGGGTTTAACTGAACCTGCCTGCCCCCTAGTGGTGTGGCTGTGATTGCAATGAGGTAAAGTAGACCTGAGGAGGGAGCAGCAAGACATACAGCGTTAAAGCTAGACAGTATTTGACTTTTTTTAGCCATTAAAATAAGTATACTCTTTGTGATGTTGGGAAGTGGGTTCTAGGGATTGAACTCAGCATGCTCCACCTCTGAGCTATATGCCAATCCTTTTTTTTTTCTTACATACATGACAATAGTGGAGTGCATTACATTCATAATTATCCATTCACAGCACAATTTTTCATAACTGTATATAAAATATGTTCATGCCAAATTATGCCATTATATATAACCTCTCTTTTTTGCATACAATTCTTAATATACCTTTATACCACCATTTATCATATCTCTCTCTGTATATAAATTATGATGACACCAAATTCACATCTTCATACATGTATTTTGTATAATGATGACTGTCTCCTTCCACCATCTAGCTAGTCCCCTTCTCCCTCCTCCTCTATTCCCTATCTAGAGGTAATTTTCCTCCCATGCTCTCCCTCCCTATCCCACTTTGAGTCACACTCCTTATATCAGAGAAAACATTTGGCATTTTTTGGGGGGGATTGGCTTATTTTTTATTCTTTAAAAAATGTTTGCAGTACTGGGGATTGAACCCAGGGGTACTCTACCTCTGAGCTACCTTCCAAGTCCTTTTATTTTTCATTTTGAGATAGGGTCTCATTAAGTTGCCAAGACTGCCCTTGAACTTGGATCCTCCTGCCTGAGCCTCCTAAGTAGCTGGGATTATCTGGTATTACAGCTGTGTGCCAGTGTACCCCACCTTCATAAAACTAGGTCTTCAAAACACAGTGATAGTATCATGATTCCAAAAAGGGAAAATCCTGCTTCAAAATAAAAAAATAAAATGGACCAAGGATGTAGCTCAGTGGTAAAAGGGTAGGGGTGTTATGGTGGCTTCTAATGCATATTTGCAAAATGTCCATCAGAAAGATTGTATGGATTTATGCTGCTAAGAAATAATGAGTGTGTTCAGTTTTCTGTGTTCTGATTTAAGAAGTTTACTACTGAAAACTAGTATATTACTTAAATTTGTATTTTCTTGCTTCTTCCTGAAGCTGTGTATTTTTCCTGTTTACTATGACTGACCAAGTTTCCTTGTTTTTCCCCCACCAAGAACTTTTAATTAAGTGATATTCATCCTTTAATTTTTGTTTCCTTTATTCTTGCTGAAAGCAAGAACAGATAATATATTAGAGTCATGGAATTTTGAAGATAGGACTATATATTATTTTACATATGATTTTACTCAGACCCAGAAAATAAAAGTGACTTTCCCTGGAGCTTCCCCAACCAGTGGGCAGTCAGGGACTTACAGAGCTGGTTTTATGTGTGAACATGTGCTTTTAACCACTATATGCCTATTTTGTTGGTTAAAGTTATTTCCCAGATTTATTGGAGGTTGATATTTCACAAAGCTAAGAGAAAGAGAAGTAATGCAAATAGTATGCCTGCTCTTCCAAAACCACATAGGCCAATGGCAGGTTCTAAAGTTTAGGGAGAATTACAGTCCCTACCTGGGGATCTTGTTTTTTTTTTTTTTTTTTTTTTTTTTTTAAATAAATGTTCAGATAGATATTATTTTAGTTGTCAGTGGACTTTACTATTTATTTATTTATTCATTTATTTATTTGTGTGCAGTGCTGAGAATCGAGCCCAGTACCTCACATATGCCAGGCAAGTGCTCTACCACTGAGCCACAATCCCAGCCCTCTTTTTTGTTTTGAAATGATTTTAGATTTAACAGAAAAGTTGCAAAAATAGTACATAGTTTTCATATATTCCTTATCCACTTTCCCCTCACATCTTACATGCTAAAACTGAATTTTCAAAACTAGGAAATTAATGGCAATATAATACTATTAACTCAACTATGGACCTTATTCAAATTTCAACAGTTTTCACACAAATGCTCTTTTCAATCCCAGAATCCCCAACTTGACTTAGTTATTTTTTTCTTCTGATCTTTTCCAGTCTGACAGCTTCTTGTTTTTCATGTCCTGACTTTTCATTATGTAGAATGTCTGCTGATTTTACACAGTGGAGATTATGCACTGGACAAGAGCACCACACAGAAGTGATGTCTGAGTGCTACTATAAGTGGTTTGGATTGTTGTTATGTCTTGTTACTAGAATGCTAACCTTGAGCTTGATAGTGTAGCATCTCTCCTGTTTTCTTTTTTTGGTACTGAGGATTGGATGCAGGAGTACTCTACTACTGAGCAATATCCCCAGTCCTTTTTATTTTTAACTTTGAGACAGGGTCATGCTGGCTTTTAACTTGTGGTCTTCCTTCCTCTTTCCAAGTTGCTATTGTTTCAGGTGTGTGGCTTCTCCTTAAACTTTTGCCCACTGACTTTAATATCCCTCTATGATTGGGGAACTAGATTTAAGCAGGAGTTTATTACACGGGTCTTCCATAAGTTATTCCTAAACTATGACTGACCAAGTTGCCTTGTTTCTTCCCCCACCAAAAACTTTTAATGAAGTGGTGTTCATCCTTTAATCTTTGTTTCCTTTACTCTTGCTGAAAGCAAAAACAGATAATATATTAGAGTCATGGAATTTTGAAGATAGTGGGATCATTTGACAACAAGCAGATTTTGTAAAAATTTATGAAGCTAAGTGGAAATAAATATGAGTTTTAATGTAATAACTAAGAAAATGGGTACATTTAATGTTTGACCTTGTCATATGTACTTTTTTAGGGTGGCCAGTCCATATCTGTCTTCTTGGGACCAAAGGGATTCCTGGGACAGGAAACCTTCAGTGCTGATACTGGGAAAGTCCCAGGTGAACACAATGAGTTGATCACTCTAGCTACCAGGAGTATCTTTAAAGAGAATTTAGTGCTTGTAATGCATGAGATATTTGGTTTTGTTATTCTTGAGTCCTGTTGGTGCCAGTAATCTACACTTGACTTTTTCTCATGTTGGTTTCCTTCTGAGTTTTTATTAATGACCTGGTGATGGCTTTGGTGGAAGAGGTAGGCATCTTGGGAAAGGTTAAAAAGTAAGAAAGTCTGAGCTTTCCTCAGGATGTTAGAATAGAACTTATGGGAGAGGGACTTGGGTTTGTTAGTTGTTATTTATTTATTTATTTATTTTGGTTATTTTCTTCGAGTTCCCTGAATGTTTTTAAGGTGCAGCTAAGGTTGGGAACTGCTGCTGAATCTGAGAAGGTGAGACTGTATTAAGTGTGGATGGAGGTGATGGTAGTATTTATGCTGTTCACATCTCTGTTCTTGTATTTTCAACTGCCTTTCCTGATAGGGCAGATCTAGCAAACATTTTTTATGAATGCTTATTTCATTTAAAAACCTCACTTGTGAACCTTTTAAAACTAACACAACAAGATTACTGTCTCATTTTGAAATGGGTGAAGATGAGTGAGTTAAGATTTCTCAAGATCTACCAATAGGATGTCTCTAAATCTCCTCAAGTCAATCATTTAATTGTACCCTTTGCTTGAGCCAGATTCCTTGAGCTGAGCTTTCTTTCTGTAAAAGTTTATTGTACATATCAGCAGATAATTTTGAGATTGTTCTCACATTTCCTAGTTAGATTTTTTTTTTTAATTTTAATATTTATTTATTTAGTTCTCGGCAGACACAACATCTTTGTTTGTATGTGGTGCTGAGGATCGAACCCGGGCCGCACACATGCCAGGCGAGCACGCTACCGCTTGAGCCACATCCCCAACCCCTCCTAGTTAGATTTACACTAAAAAAAGAGAATTTCTTTGCTCCTTGTTTATTTTTTATTACTTTCCCCCTGATTGACTCACAGGTCTTTTCTTGAGGAAATCTGCTGCGAATGGGTCATACTGCACTTGTAGGTCATTGTTTCTGCAGCAGCAGCAGCAGCAGGGACCACTACCTAGACTTTCCCTCTAGAAGCTGAGATGGTTTCCCTCTAGAAGCTGAGATGGCTGTCCCCCTTGCTCGTGCACTTGCAGTTAGTTGTAATACAGAGTTGAAGAATTTCATCCTTGACTGGAATTCCATTTCTTTCTTTGATGGGGTTCTGGAAGCATCACATGAGAGATGGAAATAATTGTTGGGCCAGTAAATTTAAAGTTGGCAAATAGAACCAACCACTGTATCTTTGGTATAAATATAATGTTGCTTTCAACACTTTTACTTTTGAGAATGAAAAATGCTTCAGATTTTGGATTATCTTTTATTCTGCTATATTTTCACACTGCTGACTTATTTATAAAATCATAAACAAGATTCTCTTTTACTATTTCTCCATTTAAAATTTACTTATTATTGAAAAGCTGAACTTTTGTGTCATTGGTTATTGAGTTCCTGAGCTTGGAGCAAGCATGAGGTGACTATTACCGTTCCAGAATCAGGCACTTTGCTTTCCCTAGGGCTTATGAGAATGGTTTAAATATAATAGATATTCAGTAAAGATTGATTGATTAGGGCTGGGTATATAGCTCAGTTGGTAGAGTGTTTGCCTTGCATGTGGAAGGCCATGGGTTCAATCCCAAGCTCCAAAAAAAAAAAAAAAAAGATAGATACTGTGACTTTGATATCTCAGCTGCACTTCAAATCAGGTTCTGCCTCCATTCAGAGTCAATTTACTAATGCCTTTTGGTATTATTATTTCTTAGTTGTATTAAACTTTAATTCTGAAAGGTTAAAAAAAAAAGTGTGCAGTTAGATGGTTTCTTAAAATCTTTTGGGCTGGCACACACCTGTTATCCCAGTGACTTGGGAAGCTGAAACAGGAGGATTGTAAGTTCAAAGACAGCCTCAGCAACTTTGTGAGATAAAAAACTTTGTTTTTTATCTCAAAAAACAAAAGAGCTGGGGATGTGGCTCAATGGTTAAGAGCCCTTGGGTTCAATCTCCAGTACCAAAAAAAGAAAAAGAAAAAAAAAGAAAGAAAGAAAGAAAAGAAACTCAAAATACTGTTGAGTCATAGATGCCTTTGAAAATGTGGTATATACAATATACACTGGAACCTTTCCTCAGGAAAAATCTACCTTCACAAGACTGCCTGCAATTCCCATAGCCCAGCAGCAGACCTCTTAGGGAAATCTGGCTGTGAGGTTATAGCTGCTCCTCTATCACCCTCTACTGGCTTGTCCTGGTCATGGCTGACATGAGATTATTTCTGCATGGCATTTATAAATATTTTTGTTCTCTTCTCCAGGGCTTATTGACTATAATTTTCATTGCTTCCGGAAAGCCATACATGAAGTTTTTGAGGTGAGAATGAAAGTAGTAAAATCTCGAAAGGTTCAAAATCGACTTCAGAAGAAAAAAGGAGCCACCCCTAATGGGACCCCTAGAGTGCTGCTGTAGGTGAGGTTTCAGGAACATCTTTTGAAACCAGACCTTTTTGATGAGGCTGCTGCACCATGTTGTACTAAAGAAAGAGGAAGAAGATTGGTACACATGACATGGATTCATTGTAAAAAAAAAAAAAAAAGTTCCTGCAACCCTCTTGATTTTCTCTTTTTTAAAAATAAAGTAAGCACTTTGAAGCAAAAACTTGTATATTAACCATGAAGTGAAATCCCCTGTACTTTCATTACACAAATGTAAACTTTTATGGTCGATAGTCAGAAAAATCCCATGTGAGAAATGCCAGGAACTGTACATATGTTGCACTTTTTCACTTTTTTTTTTCCTTATTGAACCGAACTTTGACTTTTCTAAGATCTTTTCTGTACATGGTATCAAGAACATGCCTACTGAAGTCCATATCCATATAGCAGAAATTAATCCAAAATGTTAGCTTGGTAATGACTTTTTGTAATATTTGGGGTCTTTACTACTAATTATTGAGGGAAGTAATTTTTTAATGGAGCTGGAATAGATTGGGGCTGTAAGTTCCAGGAGCAATAAGAACTATTCCCTAATACAGATATAAGCAAGATTTTTGTAGAATAATATTATTATCAAACTTATATAAAAATTTATATCACCACGGCTGGGCTTCCCTACCCAACAGTTTTTGTTGTTGTTGCTTTTGTACCCAGGGACACTCAACCACTGAGCCACATCCCCAGCCCTTTGATTTAGAGACAGGGTCTCACTGAGTTGCTAAGGACCTCACTAAGTTGCTGAGGCTGGTTTTGAACACACGATCCTCCTGCCTCAGCCTCACGTGCTGCTGGGATTACAAGCATGCATCACTGCACCCAGCTCCCAACAGCTCTTTACCTCAGCATACACCTCTGTAGTCACTTTACACAGGTAGGTTTTTTCTTTTTTGCTGCATTACTGTTTTAGAACTTTGGGGACCAGATTTCCAAAATGGTGAAGAACATGGAGAAAAATAACAATCACTAAGGCAGGTTTCTGGAGGCTCTTCTGTCCTTGTCAAGTGGGGTTAACATAACATCAGGGGCCAAAAAGTTTCCCAAAATGTAGGCAATCGAGAGCTGAAGACTAAAAAAATACATATACGATTTATGTTTAGTTTCTGTTCAATGGCCTATTGTGCTACACTTAAAATCTTTATTTGGAATTAGTTTTTTATTGCTCCATGACCACAGTGAATGGAACATATCTCCCATCTCCACCATAGAGCTTAACCCTGTTGGTTCCATTTGTCAACTTGAGTCACCTTTTTGTCTGTATAATGTGCCTGATGTCCTCTGCCTGTTCCCACCTTGTGACTAAGGTCAAATAATAACCAGTATGTTCTGCAAAGTTGAAGAGCCATCTTGAAACTCCCAGACAATCAGTTGGAAAAGGATGGCCAGAAGAAGATAAAGTCTGCTGTGCAATTTTTTTCTATGAAGTTCATTCACTTGTGTTTAACTTAGATTAGTAGGAAATTAAGAATCTTGAATCTTTTTTGGAAATGGATACTGGGAATTGAAACCTAGGGACATTTTACTCCTGAGCCCTGTGCCAAACCATTCCATGATAATTCCTTCTTTCTTTTTTTTTGTACTGGGGATTGAACCCAGGGGACCCTAGCCCTTTATTTTGTATTTTGAGGCAGGATCTCACTAAGTTTTTTAGGGCCTCGCTAAGTTGCTTGGCTTTGAACTCATGATCCTCCTGCCTCTGCCTCCCAAATCACTAGGATTACAGGTGTGCACCACTGCATCCAGCTCCCAAATAAATAATTCTTTCTATACAAAGGTTAGCACTGTATAGCATTCTTGTGGGGCATTAAAAACAAATAATTTGTTTAAAACAGCCTCCTAGTGTTATCAAAGCTGGTCCTAGCAAAATATATAAAGTCCCTAAAGCACCTTGTCCTTGAACTCTCCCACTTCTCTCAGTGGCTTCTTTCCATCTTCTCTTTCCTCTCCCTAAGTCCTATTCCTTCAAAGATGGTAGCTGGAATTAAAGTTGGTAGCAGATTGGGCTTTAAGGTTTGAGCCTCCCAAGAGTCTAAAAATCACTAAGGCACCCAACTCCCTTTCCTCATGACTTCTGCTCACAAACCTGGCTGAGCAGGAGTCAGGGTTCCAGGGAAGTTTTCCTGATTTCTGGAGCTATCCCCTGTTGGACTTTTGCCAACGGGTCTGAAACATGTGGGTTATTCTTACAAATCTAATTCTCTAGGATTTTTTACAGGATGTTTCTCTTTGAATAAGCAAATAAAGAGTCAAGTTTCTAACATTACTTTATTGTCAAGATAGAGACACTTGTCTATATGGTAATTCACATGTTAAATATATCAATGTATATATATTTAAGAACCAGGTGGAACTTTCATTTTTAAGCTAGGTATATGATGGGTTTTATTAAAATGTGCCTTAAAAAGCCTATTACTTCAAGAGCAAATGATTCTTTGGGGGAAAGGCAAAAATAATCTGTGACACAGGACCCACATTCATGGTAGTAAGTGCACTCTTTGGTTAATCACATGCTAATATAGATGGCATGTTAATATAGATGACTGCCTCAAACCGTGTGTGACAATGATCTCTTAATTAAAAAAAGATGTAGGAATTATGTCTAAGTGTTCAGTTTTTCAAGTTTGTTCAACTGGAATTGCAATACCTTTTCAAATCCTTTTGCATTTTATTTAGATATGGGAGTTTGCTTACTGCAGTGTGTCTCACCACATTTTGTACTCAAACATGGTTATAAACAAAAAGTCCACGGCTGGGTATGTAGACCTGCCTGCCACGTGCAACAGCCTGTGTTTGCATCATGAATTAACAGCCACAAAAACAGAAAGGCCAAACGTGGCTATAGTGGTGACTGTACCGAAACATTTTTGTTTGACTCTGAAGCTTGCAAACTTGATTGCCGGTTTCTAGATCGAGGTAGTCCTTTATCATTTTGAGTCATTTAAAACCTCTACATAGAGGTGAATTAGACTGTGAATTATCATCTTTGGTTATTTTCAGTGATGTAGATTAATGTGAATGACTAGTATGGAGTGTCATTGAAGGAATATAAATAAAGTACTGGCTAACATTCACAAATATGTTATTTTATGAACACAATATATACGTTGGATCCTAAAATATAAAACAACTAAAAAGCATATCATGACTAAAAAAAAAATCACAGAACTACTGTTATATATGGGTTATATACCAACTCTGTCCATACTCCAGAAAAACAGCTGAACTGTCATGATAATTGAAGTATAGTGTGCATTTGACTTCTATAGACTGCAGGTAATTTGTAGTCAGGTATAGTTTATGATTTACTTCAAGCAGCACATCCTTTATAATGATTGTTAAACCTTTGCTTTCAAGATTGTTAACTGCCAATTTAAAAGCATGTTCATGACTTGGTATGGCTTTCATTTTCCTTCAAGTGTATTCATAACTCTGCTTTCTGGGAAGAGAATGGTCTCTTCAGTTAAAAGAAAGTATGGCCTTTCATTTTTGAGGGATGGTTGACCACATGCATATATCACTGTTTCGTCATCCCTCTGAAGTCTATTTAGTAATTTCTCTTTTTCAATTAAAAAAAAAAATTTAGGCGGGTCTCATTATACTCAGTATGCTCAGGCTGGTCTTGAGCTCCTGGGCTCAAGTGATGTTCTGCCCCAGCCTCCCATGTAGCATGTACCACCATGACCAGCTATTTGGTATAATTTGTCTTTTTTTTTTTTTTTTAAGAGAGAGTGAGAGAGGAGAGAGAGAGAGAATTCTTAATATTTTTATCTTTTAGTTCTCGGCGGACACAACACCTTTGTTGGTATGTGGTGCAGAGGATCGAACCCGGGTCGCACGCATGCCAGTCGAGTGCGCTACCGCTTGAGCCACATCCCCAGCCCAAACTCTTATGTATAATTTGTCTTGATTAATCAGTTCTCACTTAATGGAAATGCAGATAAATCATTCTAAATTGAACTTACACTTTTATTTTTGAGGGGTGTGTGTGTGTGTCTGTGTGTGTGTGTGTGTGTGTGTGTGTGTGTGGCTGAGGATCAAATCCAGGGCCTCACGAATGTTAGGCAAGTGCTCTAGCACTATACTACACTTCCAGCCCCTTTAAACCTTCCTATCTCTCCATATCTTTATAGGGAAACATATATAAACTTTATAGTTTACTATCATTTCAATAAACTTCAGATATTTATTTTTGCTGCTCTGGCCTTAACCTTTAGTCATCTGGAAACCCTTTTCCTAACAGTCCAATTTATCACACCTTACTTTGCTTATTAGTGAAATTCCATTCTACTATGACCTTCACAGATCCCCTGAGAGTTCTCAGAAAGGGCTAGATGTTATATCTTAAATATAAAATTCTGTTTTTTAGTAGAAAACCTGATATGAAATAATTATTTCCAAGATTTTAAGTCAATGATCATGTTGAATTTAAGAGGAAAATGTCGTTAACAGAATTACTTACTAATAGAATAATTCTGTTTTGAAGAACAATTATGTGACTAACCCTCATAAATCCAAGAGGTAAGTACTATTGCCATTTCAGTTTTTCAGATGAGGACACCAAGACCAAAGAAGTAAAACAACTTGGTTAAGATCATCTGGCTGTTAAGATATAAGGCCAGGAATCTGACCCTGGAGTCCACTCAACTACAGCTATAAGCAGCTATATAAATATCACTTTAAAAGCCTTCCTTTCACAAATATGAAGGGAGCATTTGATGATTAGGATTTACTGCTGCATGAGTTAACGTGCTATGATATTTAAAAAGAAATACCTATTCTTACATGCATCCTTCTTACATATTTATAGAACCAATGAGAAAAGTTCTAAATGTACTTAACTCAGAAGATATTCAACCAAGATTATGCATCTTTCTTCTTAATACATTAAATAACTAGTGCCCAAGATAACAGACATTGTTTAAATATCAAGAGGAAATTTAAATACCTTTTATAACTATTTGGTTTTCTAAAAGGGGATGGCATATTGAACTGAAAAAAAATCAAGAAAGAATAAATCTTTGGTTTTAACTGCATTTGACATTTTACCTTGAGTTTACAGCATATGTAAAAATCACTTAGAGAAAATAAAACACTGATTGGGATTAAAATTCAAAAACGTTCATTTCAATCCTAATCTTTTCTCAAATTCAGACCCATATTTTAAATGGTCTCTAGTCTACTTTTGCTGGAATCTTCTATAAGAAGCATCTCATTTTGTGTCTAAACTTGGCTTCCTTCTTGATAAATCTCCTGCAGTGAAAGGTGAAGATGGGTCCTCCCTAGAGCCCCTGCCAGACACTTGAGTCTTGTACCTGACTCTTCCTTCCTGCTCACCTACCATCACTCACTCCACTCCCTCAGTTCAGCCTAACAAATGTCTATTGAATCTGTTTTAGAACTCAACAGCTTCTTCACCAGTTTGCCTACTTCACCATCCTTTCCATTCTCCACACAAGATCCACAACACAAGACCTTTCTAAACCACAACATTGATGACTTTTTCACTCCCTTAACACCTGAAGTAGCTCTCCATTACTTTCAGGTACCAGTCTAAACTCCTTAATAAAATTAGCGAGCCCCTGCCTCCCTGCTCCTCACTGACCTCTCCAGCCTTGGCCCATCCTGCCTCCACAAAGCAAGATAAACTGCCCACATAGTGTGTAGCAAATAGAAGGAACCATGAGTTTTACTCCTCTTATATATCGTTTTCTTAGGGAAATTAGAGTTTCTCTTATCCAACAAATTCTTAATAGGGCACCTACTATATGCCAAACACTGGTGGTAAAATAGCTAAGGGTACTAGATATGAAATAGATACCAGAGATGAAAAGGATTTTAATATCTAAAAACAATAGAAAATAACCTAATTTTAGCTATGTCCTTGAAAGGGTCAGTCTTTGGGTTTGGGGGTTTTGTTTTTTGAAGAGGGGGTGTTTTGTTTTTTGAAGAAGAGGTTGGTGATGGAACCCAGAGGTGGTTTACCACTGGACTACATTTCCAGCCCTTTCTGTTTTGAGACAGTATCTTGCTAAGTTGCTTATGGCCTTGCTAACTTGCAGAGGCTGGCCTTGAACTTGGAATCCTCCTGCCTCAACCTTCCGAATTGCTGGGACTACAGGTGGGCACCATCAAATGGACATAAATGTCAGTTTGTAGAAATGCAGCTGTTTAGGACTTTGCCACTCTCCAGCAGAAACCAAGGACAGAGACAACTAGTATCCAAGAAGTGAGTCAATCAATATCAAATCAATAGCTATATTTAATATGAGTTTAATGTTAAGACTAAATATACTATAAGAAATAGGCCATAAAAGAAGAAATGTTTATTGAATTAGTGCCTTTCTTTATTAAGAGGTAAATTATCTTAAAGGAATGAAGTTTTAAAAGTTATCTTAATGTTCGTACTTTGCTAATTTAACAAATATATAAAATCATTATCATTTTCAGAATTAGATTTAATAATTTAATTTTATTAGTTTCTAATCTTTTTGATCTGTTTGTACCAGCAGAGTGTATCGCCTAAGGCAGAAGCCTACATTCTCTTAATATATTGATATGAGGAATAGTGTATGTGAGAAGAATCTGATGATAGGATATAGGGCAGATACAGAGCTCTTTTAGATTATTTAGAAGTTGGAAAGCCTGGGTGTAATTTTAATTTGTACCAGACTTAGCCTAAGGAATCCTTAAAAGGTCTACTTTTATCAGAAATGATAGATAAGTTCAGGCCGCTATCTTATTTCAGTTCTATTAGTATCTTTGCAGTTTTCCTTAACAGTCATGATAAAGTGAAAATGTAGGCTTTAGGATCCCTTTTGTAGTTTCAAAGATACTTCAAATGTGTCATGTTATTCCCCAAGGAACAAGTCATTTCCATGATTAAAAAAAATCAAAATAAATCTTTAAGACTATCTTAGTAAATACCAGTTATATTCTTTTATATTATTATTGCTTTTTTTTCTTTTCTTTTTTGGCTATATAGGGTATTGGATCTAGGGCCTCATGCATGCTAAGCATGTCCTCTACCACTGAGCTACATCCCCAGCTCCTCAATCTTAAAAACACATAAAATATTTTCAAAAAGAAGAATGTTTATGTGAACTGTGAACTCATATCTGAAGCAATGTTTAGATGTCATGTAACATTTCCCTGGGACAGAACTGTAGGAGTTGACCCTTCATGAAATCTATTTTAAGCCTGTTGTACAATAAATATAGTCCACTTTGCAAACTCACACACATTATTTTTAAAAAATCTCATGAAAAACCATATCCACATGCAATGCATCTGGCATTTTCTCTTCCATTTTCTTTTTTTAAAAAAAAAAGATCTCACAATCCACAAACGATTTACAGCCCACAGTTCTTAAAACAGTGCTACAATGAACACATTGAGTGGATCAGAGATACCTCAGGATTTTGTTTCCAGCCTAAAATATTTTTGTTCTCCCTTATATTTAAGGTTTTAACAAATGGAAAATTCTGAGTAAGTCTGGCTTTTTTCCTTTCACTTGATGAAGGGTTTCTACAGTGTTTACTAGAGCATTTTTACTTTTCATGTGCATCCTTGGATATTTTTGTATGTTGAGTAGTATTA